CGAGCATCAGTGACCCCCCCAAATGGAGCAGGAGCAAGGAGCGCTATCTCCCTGTGCTCCTCAAGGCCTGAGGCTCCCTGTTCCCACCCCTGCCCATCTGTCCCCCATGCCCAGGGGAGTCCTGCTTCCCACTGTGTCTCCCCAGTCCTAAAGCAATTACCCTGGGGTCCTCGGGGTCCTCGGGCAGGGGCTGAGACAGCACGTCGATGTCATCCCCGGAGCTGCCGACAGCCACATAGCTGTAGGAGCCCCGGGTGTAGGGAGCGCTGTGCCACTGGGACCTGAGCACGCTCCTGGGAGCGGGCAGGTGTGGGTTCCCTGCGGGCGTGGATTTTGGGTGGGATCCAGAAATCCGGGTGTGTGCTTCCCTGGGGGCGGGGGTTGGGGTGATGAGGGCGGAGGAGGAAGCGGTACCTGTCAGCGTGCGGAGGACACGCGTCATGGTGCTGAGAACTTCCGTGTCGGTCAGCGTCTCCATGTACTCTGACTCCTTCCCCGCAATAAAGCCACACAGAACGTGCCCGTGCCTGCGGAGAAAAGATGGCGCCGAGAGCTGTCTGCCACCTTCCTGCTGCTTACCAGGCACCGTGCCCTCCCCACCCCAGGAGTGCCACTGTGTTGCAGGCCACTAGCAACCCGGAGAAGGTCTTGAAGTTCCAGAAGGACTGAGATGCTCCTTCCCATTGCATGGAAGATGCCCAGACCCCCCAGCCGCACTGGCCTTTCGCTGATGCTCCCAGCCACGTACTGCTCTGGCGGTTGGAGGATCACGAATCCGATGAGCTTCTTGAACCAGTTGGCCTCTAGGGCGGCACTGGGCTCCTCGAGGGGTGACTCGTCCTCCCACACCACTTCAAGGAGCTGCTGCTGGGGTTCCCAGAAAGGCTGCTCAAACTCCAGGAAGATCTTGTTGTTGGTGCCGAAACCCAGGCGGCGAATGGCCTCTGCTTTCCGCTCCGGCAGGGGAGGCTGGAAGAAGTCCTGGTGGCGTTCCTTGAGGAAACCTGCGGGCAGAAGATGGGGTAGAAGATCGAGCAGCTCTGTTTGCCAGGCTCCTAAACAGGGTCTGAGATACTTTTCCCTCCCCAAACCCCTTCCCGGCCTCCCCTCTCCCACTGGGGACCCTGGTGGGAGAGGAGAGGCTGGGAAAAAAAATCTGCCCACCTCCACCCACGCCAACTGGCTGGGGGGAACAGGCAGGGCAAGGCGAGGTGTTGGTGTCCTCACCCAGCGGGACGGTGACGATGACGTGGTTGGCGAGGAAGGCGTCTCCATCTTCGCACTCCACCCGGACGGGGAAGTCCCTGGCCTCGTCCCCTTCCTCGTGGAAGGACCCTCTCCACCGGATGGTCCTCACCGCTTTGTTGAGCAGGACGGTGCCCTCCGGCAGAGCCGAGAGCATGCGATCGGGCAAGCCACTGTAGCCACTGTGGGAGGAGGCGCCGCTGGGGGCGGGGTGCCTCCCGAAATGCTCTTCCGTGTGCCCTTCCGGAACGCCACGCTTACCCCGGGAAGGTGCAGTCCAGGCCCGGCAGGCAGATGTACTCCCCGAAGGGCTCCAGGGCCACCAGGTCCATGCTGTGGGTCCCGCTGATGCAACACTCCAGCTTGAGGCAGGCGGCGAGGACGGCCAGCTGGAGCCGTCGGGCGT